GCTGCCCAAGCCCTGATCCGTGGGTGTTCAGCGTAAGGTTGTTTAGCAAGGCCTAAATTCAGGCCGTAAGTGCTTGTATAAGAGACTGTAAATCACCTTAACTTTTATACACTGTGGCAACATGTGAGCAGAGGAATGTGGCTGGTCTGTGCTAGTCCCAGAAAAGGTCCCAGATGAGGCCGGCAGACACGCGATACTGAGCCTTTGAGTAAAATACTCAGACTTGTATCTCCCCTGTGCTACGTGTGTATGTGACTAGGGCGGAGGGGTGGGAAACCAGAGGTGCCACAGGAACAGAATGCACAAGGGCAGCTTGAACACCCGATAGCAAGAGCATTGCTAAGCAGTAAGCAAATTGTAAAACACAAGTCAGACAAAACATCTGGCAGCTGCTTCAAATACTTTTCTGTCTGAAGGGCAGACAAGCCTGCAATAGTTTCGAATCAAAACATGTGCAAGGACAGGATCAGTGCTCCAGTGTGTTTTGTGCAAGCATTGAATGAGTTTTGTTCCCTTCAGCACTGTTTGGTATGCCAAGAGAGATTGTGCTTTGGGTTAGGTTTTTAAATTTAATAAACTTTATTAAATAAATCACTATGTATTTCCTTCTCCAGTCAAATGCAACTTAGTCTGGCATGAGATCAACAGCCTTAGCTCTGCCTAGGAAGCATATGGGAGAGAAGAGAGGGAGCATGCTAGGAAATGTTTTTCATAATTGTCTTACCTTATGCAGGAGAGGTGGTGTGACTGCCAAAATAAGTTCTTAAAAGTATGATGCGTATCCTCCTAAGTTTGCACATCTCAGGCACAGGGAAAGGGAAAATTGTCTTGTGTGACAGGTACAGACTGATGTCTAGGCTCAACAGGGAAGTTGTCTGAGCTCAGAAATAAATTACCAGTTCTGCCAATAAAGGAGAAGAATTGGCAACTGTCCTGTCCGTCCCCCCCCCCAAATTTTTCCTGTCTTGACATTGTCATAGCTTTAACCAAGATTCACAGTAGGTATGTTTGCTGGCACAGATATTCTGCGCAGGAGTGTAACCTGCACCCAAGACAGGCTTGCTTTCTGAAAGGAATCGTGACAAGACTGCAAGACTGTAGAAGCAAAACGACATGCTTCCTTACCAGCTCCTAAACCCCTCCACTGAACACTTCCCCTCTTGCACACTTTTCTAGACTCAAGTTACTTTTACCAAAGCCTCAACTTCCAGGAAGAAACAAAAGCTACTTCACCGCTTGTCTAGAGCATCAGGATTCCAAGATTCCCTGCAGAATTGCCACAGTGCTTCTGTATCAACAGCAGGCAAACTATCAAGGCCAGAAGCCTCCTATAAAATGTAGGAACAGTTCCATGCGCATAAACGTGATTAGTCAGCAACAGCAGGAAGATGAGATGCTGGCCGGGGTAACCAAGTTGGTTTTCAAGGAGGCCCTGATACAAGTAGGACTTGCAGTTCTAAATGCTACTCAAGGAGTAGATCTGGAACATAGGCAATAGCAGGGGAAGCAGAGAGCCTCTGATTCATTAGGACTTGCTAATCTGTGATATCATTTGTTGATTCCACCAGGTCCAATCCCCATCTCATGACTTCCTCCACTGTTGCCATGGCACTGTACATAAACACTGCAGACTCCCAGCCCTCCGCAGGTCATTTGTTTCAAATATTCCATGCAGCTGGAACACAAGCCTGTTTGGGTGTCTGGAGCTGTGCATGAACTAATTTCTCAGTCTTCTGCACCCGCCCCACCTTATGCACCCTCCCCAGCCTCCTGCTCTGCCAGAGCCCCTCCAGCCACACTTCCAGCAAAGCAGAGGCAGCCTTCCACTGAAAGGTAAGGGGAAGCTGGCCTTGTTCACATACAGGCAGAAAATAAGTGTTTCGCTGGAGTCCTCCACTACCTGCAGCAAAAAAACCCCCACAACTGAATATGCTGGATATTTAGGCTTAGGATCTACAAACAGTTGTCTTCCACATGTGGGGAACAAAGCAGAGGCAGCCTTCCACTGAAAGGTAAGGGGAAGCTGGCCTTGTTCACATACAGGCAGAAAATAAGTGTTTCGCTGGAGTCCTCCACTACCTGCAGCAAAAAAAAACCCCACAACTGAATATGCTAGATATTTAGGTTTAGGATCTACAAACAGTTGTCTTCCACATGTGGGGAACACACAAGATTAAGACATCCAAAATTCAAAAAAATTCTTGCCCGCACTGGAGACAAAGACAAGAAACCACTTCTTTTTAAAGCTCTCCTCACCAAGTACCCTTATAAGGCAGTTCAGAAGCATACCTCTGAGCTTTAGTTGAGCCTCACATGTTGTAGTGTTTCTGTGAACCAATTAAGTCATTTAGTTTCCACACACAAGTTGACAGCTGCAGGGAAAACAGAAAAGTGTGTGCACAGGAGGGGGAATTAAAGCCTTTGTCATAACTGACAACAGTACCAAGTCATCTCACTTCCAGTCTGTTAGGAGACGCTCAACCTAACTGCTGATACAATTTTGGAGCATCTCTGTATTGCACAGGTTGGAAGCAGGAGACTGAAGGCACAACCAGCAAGCAAAGAGTTTGTACTCCGCAAACAATATAATCTGTATCTCCTCACAGCCCAGGAATGAAGCCTCTTGTGCAAAGATATCTCAAACTATATGAAAACACAGCAACTTACAGCAGTGGGTAGGGAGTGACTGAAAACTAATACCAAGTGACTTGAGCAAAATCCAGTTCATGACCTGGAGAAGTTCCCCAGAATACACTGAAATCAATCAGCCATTTTTCAAGCACACATGATACAAGAATGACTTTCCTAACACTCAGCTTAACTTGCCACAGCACCTTCCGTAATTAACTGTGCTGTTCTGCTTGGCTAGGGATCCCTTTAGCCCTCAGCATTTTATTTTGCTTTCTTCTATCCACCATCTCCCTTCCTAAGAAAAAGGACACTCAGGTATCAACATAAAGTAGGTAGTAGGTTAGTGATCCGTTTTCATATGAGCTTCTTTCCTGGAAGAAAAAGAAGAGTTGTTTGCTGTAATTTAGGAATGAAATTTGCAAACCTGCACTATGCATCAAATTCAGCAAGATAACCAGAGCCCTGTCTATTGAATCTATTTGAAGAAGAGGAGTATGGTGTAATAAGTCAGTCGTAAATCAAGTTAAATTAGGACGCCAAGGCTGCTGTCTCATCTCAGATTCTATTCAACTCAATCTGGAGTAGCTGTCTTTATTAGGCACTAGTGGCAGCTGTATAAAATCTCAGGTTACTACATCCTACCGGCATGTACCAATAGCTGCAGCTTGCCCTCCACCTGTACACACCTTTTAGATGCCAACTTTAAATTGTTATTTCTTCCAAGCAGAGACAGGGCCACCACAGCCCTTGCTTTACCTGTTTTGGCTGGCTTCTTGGGAATAAGCTCACCATTCATGTAGAAACAAATATAAAGAACTCTGACCATTTCATGCAAATAAAAACCAGTATCAAGTAATATTTAATAAAGTTTATTAGGTTACTGAGTATTATCTACAGTCATAAAATAGAATTTAAAACTGTACAAAGCAATGTACTGGTGAAGTGAGAAGAGATGGAAACAAGGGAGCACAAAAAGCATTAGAAGTAGGGAGAACACAGCCGCTTCCCTGGAGTTCTGGAAGACACTGGTTCAAGTTGAAGGCAACCAAGTAGGGCTCCATACACAGTGAATTTGTGTCACACCCTGTAACAGAAACTAGTAAAAACCTCTACATTAAAAAAAATCATATAATATTAGATTAAAAAAGGGGCACATCACACCCCACCCAGTCTTGGCACCAATGCTGTGCTTTAAAAAATATACTATGCAAGTAGTTTATTTTTAAAAAAAGGTACCCTACAGCAGCTGTTTAAAACATGTTCTTATACATACACCACAAATATATATATTAACATTTTCAACAACTAAACTCATTTGTACCTACACAGAACTGAAGGGATAACTCAAAAGCAAAAAACCAACCACACACACATTTTTCAAGACAAAGAAATGTGCAAAATAACCCCAGAAAGGCAGCATAGTAACCTGTGGAGAGGTCAAGAGAGCAGCTCCTGCTAGTAAAGGAGTGTTATCCTCTTTACTTGGCTACTGAGGTGAGAATCTATTTGGGATATGCTGATTTTGCCTGAATTGCTTGTCCTGTTTATTGCAGTTCTCTCCTGCCCCACACCCCTAGCCCTGGACAGGTTCAGTTTCTTCTTGCTGTGCCTGAAGATCACCCCACTGGTCTCCATTAAAGCCTCACAAGTCACATTCTGCAGCGATCACCTTCTAGATTTCTCATCTGCTGACAGTACTTCTGCAGCCACACTGGTACCATCTTCTCTGGGACAACTTCCCACCTCCGAGCAAGAGACAGAGAGAACTATTCCTGATGCATAGTTAAGTGGAGATTATGCTGATGATCTATGACAGAAAAAAAGCCCGGTTTGGATGACTTTAAGCAGTTTATTTAAGAAGAGAATTCCCTGGCAGAGCCATTAGAGAAACACATTAGTATGTTTCTCTGAAGCCTTAACATGGAACAGGCTATACAGAAAGCAGACCAAAGATGGCAGGACCTATAGCTGTAACAAATCTCAGCTCATACAGCCTGTCTCACCCCATTGCAGGAGAAGTTTGTCCCTTCCATGTCCCCACATCAGCGAGCAACCCCTGATCCCAGACTAAAACCTGCAATTTTAAGTCAGGAAGAAGAGGGCAGGTAAATACCCAGTATGACTGCTCAATCAACTGAGTCAAACCCACTAAGAAGAGGCAGAACAGAGAACGGAGCAGGAGAACTGAGAAAGCAATGGTGATAAACAAGAAAGCAGAATTCACTGTCTATGAAATAACGTTAGAACATGGTGAGAAGTCCTGGCAGAGATACAGACATCAGCGACATAACCACCTTCTCCAAATTAAAAAGTGTCCTGGTGGAAGGGTTCTTGGGTTTGGCGTTTCAGGGCTTGGGGTTGTATTATTTTTTTTGGTTCTTAAAAACTCAGCAATTAATTCTTGGTATTCCAGACTCTTCCCAACTCTGCTGGCCACCCTGTGCCTTTCCATTCTTAGGACCTGGTCTTAACATTACCATTCCTAATGCTTTCTCTTCCCCCAAATTACGTTCTTCCCTTTACCTGGTACAGAAAAATCATTCACTCCTAGGCTCTACAACCCAAAGGATGCAGTACAGCCTTTTCTCAGGAGAAGCAAGGAAGCACAGAGCTTCTGTAAATGTTCCTTTTGTAAGTGTGCTGGGGAAGTGACTTCCAAAGAACAAAACACTCAGTTGTGAAACAAGGATTGCTTGAGAGCTTGCCAATAAGGGCACATGGAGACTTAAGCAGTGGCAGGAATACTTTGGCCAAGGAGTTCCAACAGTAGCGATGACACGAGGGTGGAGAACCCATTGCTCAGTGGGTCAGCTCCGATACTTTGCCTTGGTTCCAACTCTCTATCCTTGAACATGAAGGTCATTGGTAGAGCAGATAACTCTTCAGGGAGGCTGGCAGTGGCAGCGTAGGGATCTCGTTCAGTCTTTCCTTGCCCAGAGCAAGCCTTACAGCTCGCCGACACAAGTCCATCAAAGGCAGTGGTTCAGCTGGAAAGAGAGACCCAAGACATTAACGTCCCAGCCCACAGGTTACACATTCATTTTGCTAGTTCTAAAAACCCCCCAGAAAAGACTAAGCAAGAAAAGTGAATGCCTGACATGTTTGCAGGACCCAAGCCATTCCACATTCACATATCGGCAACTTCAGCTCATCAAATACACAGGCAGAGCATGATGCTTCTGTAGAGGTTATTTAAGCCATACCTGTGTGTGAAGAACAACAACAAAAACCTGGAATCCCCTGATGGAAGTTCCCCCTGCACAATACCATTCATTCAAGTCAGAACACATCTTCTAGCTTGTGCCTCTTACTGCAGTATCCAAAAACCTTTATAAGAGATTCACTGAAGTAAAAGACTGCAGCAAACAGTCTGATAGCATCATTTGGTATTGGTACCCAAGAAGTACCATGGATTTGTCTCATAGTAGGATAACAGCTGTCAACCCCTTCATTTGTACTACATACTTCCCATGAAAAACAAAGCCATCTGTCAAAGCTTCATGTCACTACTTGTATTGTGACATCTTCCATTAGAGGATTCCCTCCCACGTCATAAATCTGGGAAAGAAACAAGCCTTTGGCTATCTTTTTTTTTTTGCATCCTGTACTTACAAACACTGAACAAGATAATACTAGTTTTTCAGGAACAGCATATGGGGCCCTTTGATGCTTAAGAGTCATACTCAACATAGAGGGGACTAAGGTCAAAGCCAGAGTCAACACATCACAGCTGCACTGAAGGCAGATACAGATTAGTTGCTCACAGCTTCTGTTGCTAAGTCTGTCAAAGCTCACCTTTACACAGCATGCTACTCAAGCCTAAGGGCTTTCTCCTCCCCCAAGGAGAAGGCTAACACAAAGACATCCCAAATTAAGCAGATAACTGGACATCCTTCTAATAGCCTGAGGGCTCAGCATGCACCATTAGAAAGCTTCCTTTACAGACATCTTGGGCTGAACACTGACACCTAAAAGCATCCACAGGAATGGAAACGTTTGGCTGAGAAGTTGCAGTTTTCAGGAACCTTGAATGATGCCAACAGCTCTAGCTTCCACTACTACAAGCCAAATTAATCTGACTGTTCATACAGTCGTTTTAAAGAGCTGAGACACAGGGAAAGCTTACTTTTTCTGAGCATGGTCACATTACTGCATTTTTTGCCAGAACTCATTCCATTAAGGGACATACAAGTCCCTTCCTTCCAGGTTCAAAGATAACAGCTAACACGGAAAAGCTCAAACAGAAGTGTTGTTAGTAGCCTCTGATCAGGCCACTCCTGATTCTGCTCTGGAACAAAGTAAACAGACACACTGCTCCATGTAGAAAACACCTCCAACGAGAAGTGGAGAAAGCTAATTCTTATCTAATTTCTGGCAAAGAATCTGTGAGAAGGAGAATTTGTTAGCTGAGGAGAGACTTGGTAACAAAGTCAGAAAATGCATGCTTGTCTTGGTCTGTCCCTCAAGCTTGCAGCCAGAGCTGAACTAATGCCCTGTTTGCCCCCTCTCTTTCCC